AATATTTTTGAAGTTCGCACCGCTATCATCAAAATCGGGAAAATAATATACATACCGTAAATAAATCCAGCAGGTTGTGTTCTTCTGGGAAATGGTCCATCTACCACATGCCGTACTCACATGCCATGAAGTGCTTTCAACATACAGGTTTAGGGCCAACTAACTATGTTGATAGGCAATAGTGTTGCTGCATACTTAAACACATATAGTGGGCAGTTGCAGTCAATGGGTGCTGAGCATTATTGGCTGCCGGAACCATTTAAAATGGTTTGTAACAAGGACTATTTGCGTAAGCTACAAGTGAAAAAAAGAACGCGTATATGAAACCAAATGGATGTTGGTGATACCCTTTATGCGCGTAAATGTGGCATATGCTCGCAAACAGGACACGACCGTCGTAAATGACCTTCAACTGGTTTGGGTGGCGGTGGTAATCCAGCTCCCGGTGGAAGTTCATCTAATGTGCCCAACTATCAAGGATACACGTAGTGTTTTGTTTCCGTAATGTGGTTGTAATAAGTGCATGTACTTGTTTATGTTGCAAGATGTATCAAATAAAATTATGTTCCCATTGTTGTTAAATCTTATTGATATCTAACAATTTTCAGTTGAGTAAATTAATAAATTTCTCCCTCCCGTTCAATGTAATAAAAAATAGCATTGGATTAAAAAACAAAAAAAAATTATGTTGACTTTCGAATTTCACTCTAAAAGTATTAGAAAACTACACTGTCAGAGGAGGAAGATGTTTGATAAATATGTGAATATATATAGCGCGATAAAATACTACGTTATGTGTGTTGTCTTTTCGATCAGAGCTGCCTGCCTGCGAAAAAGTTATTCTATATCCGAAAGAATCTTTAACACGCGAAGCATAGCGCGGTTAAATACTACGTTATGTGTGAGCATATATAGCGCGGTTAAATACTACGTTATATGTGTTGTCTTGTTGATCTGAAAAGCTGCCCGCCTGCGAAAAAATTATTTTGTATCCGAAAGAATCTTTAACACGCGAAGCATAACGCGGTTAAATACTACGTAATATGTGAGCATATATAGACCGGTTAAATACTACGTTATGTGTGTTGTCTTGTCGATCTGAAAAGCTGCCCGCTTGCGAAAAAGTTATTTTGTATCCGAAAGAATCTTTAACACGCGAAGCATAGCGCGGTTAAATACTACGTTATGTGTGAACATAGCGGGGTTAAATACTACATTATGTGTGTTGCCTTACCTATAAATAACGGGCGCATTCTAGTTATATTCTGCGCTTAATCATAACAAATAGCAAAACTTTCCATAAAAGCAGGTTTTTTTCGCCTTAACATATGTCTGAACGCATTTATGTACCAATGTGCCAATGTGGAAAACGTTGTATGTGGCGAACTATTGGGATGATGGTCAAGTTGGGCGCAGATACTGAATTTGTGTGAACAGGTTTGGAGGCAGCTACAGAAATTTTTGCAATTTTGAGGTATGGTTTGATGAACCCTGTAAGCAGGAATGCTACAAAGAGTCTTTGCAGTATTATCATGATTTGACCAAAAGATACTGGGATGATGAGATTATGTATAAACGAGAAATTGCGGCGTTGAAGGAGAAACTAAAAGAGGCAGAAGAAGAAAAATATAAGCTGGAAGAGAAATTTAAGTGATTGGAGCAGAGAATACTAGGCGGTCATGACTAAACAATGACATGTATGTGTTGAGTGTAGTACTTTATCTTTATGTTTTCCGTGTCATGTATTTTCATTAGTTGTACTAAATTTAGATTATGTTAAGTTGCTATGTTTGTGTTTGTGTTGTAGTATTAAAATAAAGAAGAAACGAGAAATTAAAACATAATGCGCATATAATGTAAACATAAAAAATTATTATTATTATTTACATAAAATAATATTTACATAAAATACAAAGAAAAAATCAATGTGTCCCACAACCTGTGTGCTTCAATGCAGCCGTTGGCCTGGGGCACATCCCATCCCGCCCGGATACACTATCAGGATCATCCTCATCACGTCGCCTCTTTATCGCAGGATGCGCTGCAGTATGATCGTCAGTAGTGCTGCATGATCGGTAGAAGGAGCCATCGGTCCATCATCAACCTACAGAAGAATAAGTCAGCCCAGTATATGAAAATATATATTAGTAATGTACGTGTTAATTCAAAAAAAAAATTAAATTGTCTTACCATGGTCTCGTCGGGCTCCTGAATATAAGCATCCGTCGTATCCTGGTCAGCATCGCACAAAGTGGCCTCCGTGACGGCGGGGATGAAGCCTTAATAAGAAAATTATAAAGTTATTTATGGAGAATCAATGAGATAAAAACAAATTTAAATTATAGTAATACAAACATACCTGTGCTTGTGAAAGATCCACAACACCCGTCGATGATGAGTCATAACTTAGCCGGCACCCATCATCCACATCGCGGGTCGGTCGATCCTCAGCAGCGGTCGATGGTCCTGGAAAGTACTGATCCTAATCTTCTCTGGTAATGCTCGTGCCCGTGATCAACAATGGATCTGACGGGGTCACCTGCGAAGTCGCTGGAGTGAGCGGCAGCTGAAGGCTAAATGACGGCATGCTGCTGTGATGCTCGTCTGGCTGATGGAGGTCACCCGGCAGATCAGCTCCAACATCCTCAATAGGTGCCTCAACGACCTCTTGCTGGGGACCACCTCCTCGCCGGATCCCACGACCCCGTGGGACATCCCAGTCTCGTGGGGGCACCCCTGCCTCGTGGGACAACCTTGCCTCGTGCTCCGCTACCTCGTCGGACAACCCTACCTCGATGGTAGTGCTATGGCGCCACGAGTATGGCCGCTCCCTTGCCAGCATGCTGCTGCATCTGCAGTCCCAACTGGTGGAATAAATGTAGGCCAATAGCCTGCACAGCATGTAAAATATAAATTACGGAAGCTAGGTCATAGTTATAAGTAAGAATACCAAATAACATACCAGTGCCTCGTGCCGCCCGATCTCCAAAATCCTGTAGAAGCCCGTATTCCGCGGGCGTATGACTACACGGGGATGGAGAACTTTGCCCTTCAGAAAGTCCCACATGTCGTCCACTCTCCTGACGCGGAGAGTCTGGGCCAGTAACTCTCCTTCCCATATGTGGGCGGACCTATGATCGCCCTGTAACGACAGTAGCTCATTGTTGGAAGGTCCGGGATGAATAGGCGGCACCTTCATGTCGTCTACTGTAAATTAAACAACATCAATACATGTTAGTTTTATAATTTTATATGTTTGTTTGTAAATTAAATAATTAATTTTCATAATTATACAATATTTAATTATTATGTATTCACAAAAGGGTTCCAGGCTCGATATTTGAGGCCCATTAGCACTAAGATATACTGAATTCTTGTATGTGTTAGTTTTCTTATTTTACATATTTGTTTTATAATTTTATATGTTTGGTTTTAAATTAAATAATTAATTTTTATAATTATAAAATATTTAATTGTTATGTATTCACATAAGAGTTCCAGGCTCGATATTTGAGGCCCAGTAGCACCAAGATATCCTGAATTCCTGTATGTGTTAGTTTTCTTATTTTACATGTTTGTCTTATAATTTTATATGTTTGTTTGTAAAGTACATAATTAATTTTTATATTTATATAATATTTAATTATTAAATATTCACATATGGGTTCCAGGCTCGATATTTAAAGCCTAGTAGCACCAAGATATTCTGAATTCTTGTATGTGTTAGTTTTATTATTTTACATGTTAATTTTATAATTTTATAATTTTATATGTTTGTTTGTAAAGTAAATAATTAATTTTTATATTTATACAATATTTAATTATTAAATATTCACATATGGGTTCCAGGCTCGATATTTGAGGCCCAGTAGCACCAAGATATCCTGAATTCTTGTATGTGTTAGTTTATTTATTTTTATATGTTTGTTTGTAAATTAAACAATTAATTTTTATAATTATACAATATTTAATTATTAAATATTCACATATGGGTATTAGGCTCGATATTTGCGGCCCAGTAGCACCAAGATATCCGGAAAATATTATTCTTTTCTCATGTTATTTTACGATCTTTGACTATAATTGGACATAGTTTATGTTTGATCTATCAATTATTTTGACGTATTTTTGAGTATAAGAGATACTTAAACTACAGGGATACTACGCTAAAAGGCACTACATTTTACTACGCTAAAAGACACTATATTTTACTACCCTAAAAGGGCATTATATTATTAGTCTTTAAGCAAATAAATAATATAAACCAGATAAAAACAACAAATTCATTTAATCACAAAACATTCACGAAAATACATACACAACAGTAAAAAAAACTTATTAACATTTTTTTTAACAAATAATAATAATTTCTCAATTTTTACATATTTTTTTAGCACACTAATATCTAAGTCCGGATAAAAATAACATACCAGTTTAATCGCAAAAAAAAAAACACAAAACAACATAGAACACAAAAATAACTAATATGCATTTTTTATAGGAGTTCCGACAAAAATTAAATCGGAGCACCTCGATTTATGTTTTTGGAATGTTGAAGAATTGAAGATTTTAGTCGGAAACGAGCAACCACAACGAGAGAAGGCCTTAGCTAGGATGTGGGACCAACACTCTTTATTTTCTATGGGACGGGTGGGGTCCACTCGAGTTTTAATCTCGTTAATTGTGTGTGTGTGGCGGGGGGGGGGGGGGGG